GCCTGCCAAGCCCACGACGCCGACGAGGACTGCATGATTTCGTGCTCGCGCTGCCTGCCAGTTTCGTGCACGAGATTTGTTCTCGCGTGCCCGCGATTTGTCCCGCGAGAGCCCGCCTAAATCTCAGATTTGCCCCATGTTCTCTCCTATAAATAGAGAAGGGGTGGAGGAGTTTTTTGAGTGTGGGTTGTGTGGAGTTCTTTTGAAAGAAAAGAAAGAGTGAGTTGAGAGAGAACTTGTAATAGTTTGGTATTCTCCTCATAGTAAAACCCCCCTCCCGTGGACGTAGACAAGTTTGCTGAACCACGTAAATCTGTTGTCTCGTTCTTTACAGTGTGTTGCCATAGCTTGTAGGTTCCCTCGATATTTCAGTCTTAGAACTGATGAGAGGAAGAGTGTATATTTCACTTTGATAAAATATATCACTTTCGATTCTTGTTTCCTTTGAGAAATAAGAATTTCACTTTCTATTCCTGTTTCCTTTGAGAAACAAGAATATAGAGGTTGAATTGTGCTTTTGTGTCAACAAAAGCCAGGTCTATCTCTCAGGTGATATCGCTTCCGTGACGTGAGGACGTGACTCTATGCCCAACAATTGGTATCAGAGCCCTTATTCAGATTGGCGATGGTTGAGCTACTGATCTGAGGTGGTGGTTAATTATTGTGTTGTGTACACAAGGTATTTGTTAAAATTCCTGAGAGAAGCAGTTTTATTAATACAAGCAGAGAATGACGTCAACAAGTAAAACAGTTAAAGTTAAAAAGTACGAGATTGAAAAATTCAATGGGAAAAATGATTTTTTCTATTGGAGGATGCAAATAAAAAATTCGTTGATTTCGCAGAAATTGCACAAAACTTTGACGGGAAAAGAGAAGAAGCACAAGGATATGTCTGATGAGGATTGGGAGGAGCTGGATCTGGAAGCACGTGTGTCGATTATCCTTTGCCTTGAAAGGGATGTAGCTTTCTTGGTAGACGGGGAGGAAACGACCACGGACGTGTGGTTAAAGTTAGAGAGCACCTCCATGACGAAGAGTCTAACGAACCGGATCTATTTAAAATCCAAATTGTATACTTATAAGATGGAGGAAGGTTCATCAATTCGGGAATACATCAACAAGTTCGATAGGATCTTATCGGATTTGAAAGATATTAAGGTGACAGTGGAAGATGAGGATCAGACACTTCTACTACTTCTATCTCTGCCGAAGTCTTATGAGAATCTGGTTCAAACACTAATGCTTATGGGCGACAGTTTGTCGATGGATGAAACTAGAATGGCGCTTCTAGCGAATGATCTTCGAAAAATTACAACTAGTGATATGGTCACTGGTGGTAACAAGGAACAAGCTCAGGGACTGTTTGCCAGAGGAAGAGGCAATGAGCGAGAAAAAGATAAGGGATGAAAGTCTAGATCTAAATCGAGACCTCTTACGGGACGAACGTGTTTCAAATACGGTGAAGTTAGGTATTTCAAGGTCGATTGTCCTAATAAGAGAGTAGGTGGAAAGAAGAATAACAACAAGACTGAAAGACGAGAAGGCAATGAAGAGACGAGCTATGCTTCAGGGGAAGGGAGCGATAAGGAATGCTATGTCGTCACGGGTGGCGAGGATACCTCCGGGAAGTGGATACTTGATTCTGATTGTTCTTACCACATGTGTTCAAATAAGAATTGATTTACTATCTACAGGAGCATTGATGGTGAAACCATATTGATGGGGAATAATCATGCTTGTAAAACGGTGGGACTAGGCGATATCAAGATCAAGATGCATGATGGAGTGGTTCGAACCTTGACGGATGTAAGGCCCGTTCCTAACTTGCGAAAGAATCTTATCTCAGTTGGTGCTTTGGACTCCGGGGGTTGTAAGATTGTAACAGAGAACAGAGTGAAGAGGGTTATTCGAGGTTCTCTAACAGTGATGAATGGTGTTTGTCACGGTAATCTATATACTCTCTCGGGTACGACGGTGACAGGAGATGCAACAGTTAGAACTGATGGAAGTGGTGGAGATCCATGTGAGCACATACGCTTATGGTATAGGCGGCTTGGGCACATGTCAGAGAAGGGTCTAGATCTGCTTGGTAAAGATGCGTTGTTAAAGAATCTGAAGAAACCTTACATGGATTTTTGCAAGGAGTGTGTGTATGGAAAGACGCACATGGTCTACTTTCTAAGGAGCAAGCACAAGAGCAGAGGGATACTAGATTATGTGCACACGGATGTTTGGGGTCCGGCTTCGACAACTTCCAAGGGTGGTTCCGGATATTTTATCTTATTCATAGATGATCATTCGAGGTATGCTTGGGTTTATTTCCTGAAGCATAAGAATGAGGTATTTGAGATATTCAAGAAGTGGAAGGCGATGGTTGAGAACAGGACGGGTAAAGAAATTGAAGACACTGAGATCTGATAACGGTACAGAGTATACAGACGGTGCTTTCAAGGAGTTCTGTGATCAGGAGGGGATTGCCAGACACTGGACAATTAGATCTACACCACAGTAAAATAGGATCGCGGAGAGACTGAACCGAACACTATGGGAGAAAACAGTGAGTATGCGATCATATGTTGGTTTGGGCAAAGAATGGTGGGCAGAGTCGATTGCTACAGCTTGCTATATTGTGAATCGATCTTCACGTTCGATATTGGACGGTGATACACCCTATCGGGTGTGGTCAGGGGAGCATACAGATTATGAGAGGCTCCGTATTTTCGAGTGTACCGCCTACTATCACGTCAACGAGGAAAAACTTGACACGAGGATCAAGAAGGTAATTTTCTTAGGGTATGCAAAAGACGTAAAAGGCTACTGTCTTTGGTGTACAGAAGATTCGAAGTTCGTGATCAGCATGAACGTTACCTTTGATGAGAAGTCCATGATTGCTAGGGTGTCCAAAGATGATGGTGTTGAGACTGTTGGGACTCCCGAGTCCCAGGTTATTGAGATAAAACCTAAGACCAACCAGGTTCTAGTCGTGTTCAAGTGGAAAGTCAGGTAGATTATGAGCTTGAGCAGGAGGAGATTCAGTAGGAGAATACACAGGCACTACAATAACAGCAGCTCGAGGATAGCTTGGTTTCTACTAGGCCAAGACGAGCATACAAGCAGGTACAGAAGCTGGGGGCTGATCAACCCCTGAAGCACTATAGACAGGTTAATTTGGTTGATTACGCACTCTCGGTGAAGGAAGATGAGCCGGTCTCCTTCAAAGAAGCTATTCGGGACAAGGATAGTGAGAGTTGGTTGGCTGCGATGGAGGAGATGAAATCTTTTCGGAAGAACCAAACATGGGAGGTGGTACCATTGCCCGTAGGAAAGAAAGCTATAGGTTATACGTGGCTGTATAAAAGAAAAGAAGATCCTTCAGAGCTCGGTGGTACGAGGTACAAGGCGATGGTAGTGGCTAAGGGGTTTGCACAAAGAGAGGGTGTGGATTATAATGAGATATTTTCTCCGGTGGTGAAACACACTTCTATTCGGATGTTATTGCGTATTGTTGCTCATTGTGATCTTGAGTTGGAACAACTCGATGTCAAGACGGTCTTCTTGCACGGAGATTTGGATGAAGAGATCTATATGCATCAACCGGAGGGCTATAAGGTTGAGGATAAGGAGCATCATGTATGTCGCTTGAGAAAGTCAATCTATGGATTGAAGCAATCTCTTCGGCAGTGGTACAAGCGATTTGACTCCTTCATACTGAAGCATGAGTTTTCCCGAAGCGACTATGATTGTTGTGTTTACATTCGGAAGTTTCGTGGAGGTGATTATATCTATATTCTTTTGTATGTGGATGACATGCTTATTACATCGAAGAATAAGGTGGAGATAGATAGACTAAAATATCAACTTGGTAAAGAGTTCGAGATGAAAGACATGGGCGCTGCAAGAAAAATATTGGATATGAAGATTAGAAGAGAGCGGACGAATCGACGATTGTTCTTGAGTCAGAAGGGCTACATTGAACGGGTGATCGCGAGGTTCGGAATGTAAAGTACTAAGCCGGTGGTAACTCTATTGGCTTCACATTTTAGACTCTTTGGTAAACAATCTCCCACTACAGGGGAGATAATACACACATGGAGCGTGTCCCTTATGCTAGTGCAGTTGGCAGCTTAATGTACGCAATGGTGTGTACACGCCCTGATGTTTCACAGGCGGTTAATGTTGTCAGCAGGTTCATGGCGAATCCGGGAAAGACGCATTGGGAAGCGGTGAAATGGGTTCTGAGGTACTTGAAGGGTACCACAGATACGGGTTTGTGTTTTGGTGGAGACACATGTCAGATCGACGGGTTTGTAGACTCTGATTATGCGGGCGATCTAGATAGACGACGATCTACTACTGGTTATGTATTTAGGATACATGTGGCTCCAATTAGTTAGCGATCGATGTTGCAGGCTACAGTGATATTTTCTACAACAGAGGCCGAGTATATGGCCATGATGGAGGGAGTGAAGGAAGCATTGCGATTGTGGGGTCTTCTAAAAGATTTGGGGATTGAGCAGGAGAGCGTGAACTTGTGGTGCGACAGTCAGAGTGCGATTCACTTGACGAAAAATTAAGTTCACCATGCTCGTACCAAGCATATCGACGTCAGATATCATTTTGTACGGGATGTCATAGAGGAAGGTGATATTTCTCTCATGAAGGTGCATTGCTTGGACTTGCTTCATATCAGCCCGTGTTGATCTGCCCAAGAGGGCATGACCCTTCGGGGCGATGATGGAGGTGATGTGGAGACAGGTAATTATGTTGGAGAATAATTACAGAATTACGGTTAGCTTGATCCCGGTGGAGGGTACGTAGGCAGCCGTGATATAGTGGCGCAGCTGGTTTGGCCTAGTGAATAATTGCAGAACTCTTCTGGTGATGTTCGTGAGGTTCCTCTGGTGATCGTCCAAAATTTAAGGTTTTATCAAATGATGTACGAGGTGGAGAATTGTGATCGTGGGGGACAGGGGGGCCCACCC